TACGAAATGTTGCTCAGAATTGTAATAAAATACGTTGTTCCGCCATATATCTGATCCAAATTTGGCTTAATATTTTCATGTAGAACAAAACTGTTCTACATATGATCAGAAGCATTAAGAATTTCATTAAATATATCGTTTACAAGGTAAGGGATTACCAACAATGTTACCTCAAATGTCCAAGCGTTGTAAACACTATGACCGCTAACTTTGTCCATATATTTAGCTGTAGGTAACCATTATCGGAGCATTGCAACAGGAGGCGGGTCTCCATTTTCAAAAGCTCGTGCATTGTGTTACAAAAAAACAAGTCTTTCTGTGTAATTACCAGATTCATCAAATTGTTTTCAAATGTGATTGGTCATTCACACGTAGCTAACATGTGTTGATATGCAGCATGAACCGTGACAATAAACATTTACCTCTCCTTTATGAAATACTGAACATATGTTACAATATTATAATTAACCAGCAATGTAAGTACGTTTGCCCTTTGAACATGAAATGACAAAGATAATATGCATTTGTCCGGCTTATGGCTATATCGTTTCATTCATGTGTTCAGGGCCATTCTGCATGCAGCCTCACGACCCTTGCAGTAATCCATTACTAGATACACTCTTCAAAAAGAAGAAACGCATAAGCCATTTCTAGAAACATTTATTGCTATAGTTTAAAAGCAATTATTTCATGTAATTTCAATGGTAAAAAGGTGACTATTCATACGTCTATAGACAAAGAGCCTTATTGTTAGGTTTCTGTTTACATGAGTCCACAAAATGGCGTGAAAGTCAGTACTTTGTACGGCCACCTATGTCAACAATTACTTCTCGGCACCGTCTCTGGCACAGACTGGATAAGTCGACGAAGTCGCTTTTTGCGGAATTCTTCCCCACTCATCCTGCAATGCGATGGCCAATTGTGGAAGTGTCTGAGTCGTATTTGATGTACACGTCAATCGAGTTCATCCCATAGGTGTTCTATCGGGTTTATATCTGGTGATCGTGAAGGCAATGGCAAGACATTGACATTAGAATTGGCAAGGTAGCGGATCGTGACGCGTGCTGTATGTGAAGTAGCGTTGTCACGATGGAACAACCCCCTCTCGGTCCATAATCGGAAGCACATGAGCACATCGGAAGCAAGAATTTCTTTGATGTACCGATTTGCTGTCAAACGATGAACGTTGAAATGTCGGGCAACTGCAGTCTGCGACTCCTCAGCTTCAAGGTGGTCTATGGCGATGTTTCCTCTTTTCCGGGCAAAAACGAATGACAAAATTATACACAACGTTTGCCTGTCCTTTCATCACCTATGCGTTTCTTTTTTGAAGAGTGTAATTACGTGTACAGTTCGACGATGTATGAAATACATGTATGAAGCTCGCCTTCAAGGTTTTGAGTCAGACTACAAATCTTGTGACAATCTCGCAAGGTACGAGTTGTACGCGACTTACAAGCCACTACACGTCGCACCGTGAACACGCACCTTAAAGATTAAGAACACGTAAAACACCATGACCGATGAAAGGTACAAAGTTCAACATTTCCGTATCCGAATTACATAGATCGATGCTGATGTAAACAGGCAATGGATTATCTGATCTTGACCGGATACTTTACAGACCTTCGTTATAAAGTTGGGACATTATGTGGAGTTCTGCGTAAAACAACAAACAAATAAACAATCGTGAATAACACAGTGAATGTGCCATCTATCTCTGAACACCAACCCGTCGTGCATGCTACATGGAACTGGCTACTGACATTAGGCCAGGTGTTATTTGTTTTATGATATGTTTGACTCGAGACTACAACGGATGTTCTTAAATGTCGGAAAACCAATAACACAAGGATACTGGTTGACTTCATCAGCTCGCTCGCTATGGATAGACATACATCATACATAAATGTTCACACTCCTGTAATAACCTGTTTTACTCCAAACATCCAAACATCTATCAACTCGGCGCGATGCAATGCAATACTGTACCTGCAGTAAAAACACGTGTGAAGATCTGGGTTAGAATTGATCTTCAGACAATGCTTGTCGTAAGAGGCGACTAACAGGATCGGGTGGTGCGACTCGCTGACATATGTCATCGTATTCCAGTTGCGAAGATCGAAGCTCATACTGATGATCAGTGGACTGTCTGTTTCAGACTAAACTAAGCCTCTGTCTCCTCTTGTGCGTCACACTGATTATTTCCCTGTAGGAATGATTACTAACTGTGGATCACACCACTTCTACACAACCCATTTACAACAGGTATTGAAATCCCACAAATGTTGTCGAAGTAAACATATTCAACACAAACCAACAGGTTTAGGTACATTAGAAATAATGTTTTGTTATTCATAGAGTTTTAAGATGAATTTTCAACGCACCAAAAGAACCTAAACATACTATCAAATAGATACTAAATACCTTTGAGCATACGCCATTCGATGTGCATGTACAATACATGGACGGTAAATATATATAGACATTGACATCAATCGGTGCATGAGTGTTTTCGAGTTAGGGCTATACATAAAGGTTCATAGTTCAATAAACTCGTACAAAGTGCAATTCAGTTGCTAAATAAGGTGTGTTGCTCGGGTCTGTAGGCTTTACATACGTATATAAAATAGCTCCAGTTCGTCCACTACGTTTGCAGTGTCTGTCAGCTCTAGGGTAAAACGTTTGCTTCCAAACTCGTTTTAAAATATATTCCTATCAACGAAGCCTAATTTATCAGAGCGTTGTTTCTCCATCATAACCTGCAGAGGCTAACACAACAACGATATTGTTTAAAGGTATGTTCGACTTATTCATTCCATAACCACTTTTCCTGTACTAACTAAATTATATTTAATTGACTAAAAGCTTTTTGCAAAAAAGTGTTACGGAATGAAAACCAGGCTTTACCATATCATTCGAGAAAAGAACAGGCAAAATAATAAATCATTTGACAGAAGACCTACACGACAATCAGTTCAAAATGGTACTGATCCCATGTTCAAAATTTTGTTAATTTTTTCTCAAAAATGACACTAAAGAAATTACCAATTCATCAAACTTGTTATCAAAAGTATCAGGCCTTAAAAGAAACATAAACTGAAACTAGTTACAGCCATCTTGTATTAATATTTTTGTATGTATATATATACTATATATTATTATTTATCTTTCCATTTGTTTTTGTATATAAAATATTTGTATTCGCTCTTGTACCACCAACCGTGGTTATTTGAGAATAAATGATTGATTCGGATGCCTTGGATCTTTACATGGTGGATTGACTTCTGAAAGGCGAGACAATAAACAAATCATACTGAGGCAATAATAGGCAAAAGTAGGAATACAAGACGTTTGAAGATAGGATACGTCGCTCATTACTATGAAGGTGTGATGTATCATGAGGACAATGCACCGATAATCACATCAGTCATAGCAATGGATTCAATCCATCAGTGTTGGTGTGAACTCCAAACTCCAAATCTGACTCCAAACTTAGATCTGTTCTCAAAGCAGGGGGGGGGGGAAGCTCTACAAAGAACTTTACTCTTTTGACAGACAAAAGAAGGTCTTCAACAAAACTCATAAAGACCTTACATGATGAAAAAAGTATAATTATCATTGTGGAAGGGGATTAACATATCATTTGAATGTCTCCAAGTCAAGTCTTTCAATGTGTGAGACTCAGAGGTTGTCATGCGGCCCTCGTAGTGTGGATCGGAAGAAGCTCCCAAAACAATGCCAGGTTCGGGAAGATAACTGACCCTTCAGTAGCTTTGTGAGACCATTTATGTTTTTCCAGTGCGTTTTTCAGCAGTCTCGTTTATCCCATTCTGTTACCTATTGAAACTGCGTGTTTCAGTATAAGCTGTTAAATATAGATTGATTTTGTGTGGTTATCTACTGGTTTCTATGTTTACTGTAGAGTTTAAGGTTGTGACATTTGTTTAGTGTCAAAGTAAGCAGAAGGTTTGTATTTGATGTGCCCAATCAAATTTAGCTATAATATTGATGCTGAGTCGCCATAGGGTAAAACGTGATATTTTGAAACTCGTTAAAACTTTCGTTTTAGGAGGAACATTTACGGGATTTAGCTTTAACGTCAGCGACTGAGGAGAGTTCAGAAAGTGTTAAAATGGCAAGCCTGAAAATGAGAGATATTGAGGTCACTGGAACTGGTAAATTGCAGTAGAGAAATTAGCCTTAAATTCAAATACATGTATACACTTAGTTCCGTCCTTTACAAGAAATATGTAAGGTAATATATGCTTGGATGTTAAAAAAAATGTGCAAAAGAGCATCGATGATCAGTAACAGAAAGCTTGACCTTTTTCAGAATTATCAATTGAGGTAAGTTCAAAATATAATGAGGTGAAAATGCTTATCTAAAAGCTTATGAAATTGGCCATGGGACAAAATAGGGTGAATATCATTATTGTATGTGGCGTTTGTTTAATAGAAAATTCATGTTCCGAATGCTGTTGATAAACATTTTGATATGTTATGCCCGGTTATTTTGTTGGAAGATGTCAAGCACTGTGCTCATGCTGAGATTAAGACATTGCGACTGTGCTTCAATAGTCATATGGCTTGATATGCTGTTGGGTATTAATAACTAGGAATAATCTATGAATATTTGTATTTTCAGGCAATATGAGTGATACATCTCCTTCAGGCATTATTTCCTTCCTTATGGGAAACGATGACATGAACAGCGAGGACATTGTGCATACTTTTTCTCAATACAGCCATCAATATGAAGAGGTTCGTTTCCATTAATGTTGAAATATTAATATTTGAATTGATGTTGTCTATCCAATCTCCCAATGTATGTCGTACAAACCATTCCAGTATTGCAGATCTCTGGATGCGGTTGGATTGCCCAGTGATGAAAGTGTTCGCTCATTCAGTGATAGTATTTGCAGTTGAAGTAATACTGATAGATGTCCGTGAAATTGCTGGAATGTTCTAAAAGCACATTCTTGTATTTCATAAAGGCTATGCTGGCCAGCGGCTACACGGGTCCAGCAGAAATTGCCGGGACAATTGCAAAGTTGTTTCCAAGCAACAGAAATGAGGTCTATATTCTGGATGTGTCTGCTGGAACAGGACTTTGTGCAGACAAGGTTGGCAGACATAGATATATAAATCTGCGATACTGACACTGGCAATGACAACCGAAGAAAGGGTCAGCCTTGAAAGGTCAGAGGCTTAGGTATATCAGTCTGGTTTCCGGGGTCTGCGACATCATACCACCTGTTCTTGGATTTTTCTATAGGCTGACCCTTTCTACGGGGCACTCCTTTTCATTTAATCACCGGGATTATCTTGTTGTCTTGTTTTCTTTGTTATACTTAGTATAAATTTATATGCTTTGCCACCACTGCATGTTACATTCCTGCTTGACAACGGTACAAGAATCTGTATCGAAACGTCGCACTCTCGCAATAAAGAAGTTGTTATCCATAAACGTTTGTCAATTTTGTAATCATCGGGAGACTGTTCCAATCCTGTTTGGTCTATATTTTTGTTTAATTTATTTTTTTATTTAAATTTTGCCTTTTTTTTCTGGTGGGGGCCTTTTTATATAACTGGCTCAAACACTTCAGTTAGGTTTATCAGTTTGCGTCTGGTTTCAGCTTTATATTTGTACCATATTTATACTAAAACCTCGATACAACTGGCGACAAATATCTAAATTGTGTAGGTCGATGCTCATGCTGTTGATCACTGGATTGTCTCGATTCGATTATTTACAGACCGATTTAGCTGGAATATTGCTGTGTTCGGCGTGAAATATCAACCAAACAAACAATAGCAAAAATGTGCATTTTGGAAACTTTTCCAATCATTTCCATCCGTCTCGTGATGTGGTTCCTAGTTGATAAACTCAAAATCATTACTTGATGATATCGATATTGATCTTGTTCTATGTCAAATATATTCACAGGTCTACTCTCAAGGTTTTCTCAAAATTGACGCCTTGGAACCGTCGAATGAAATGCTGGATGAAGCAAGAAAGAAGGGCATATATAGTCGCTACTTCGTTGACGGTTTAGGAGAAAATACCCTGGACATCGCAAATGGTAGGTTGTTTCATTTGGACTGTTGGATATTATGTAATTTGTGTATTCAGGTCCATGTTCATAAGCTGTGTTACAATGAATAATTGTATTTTATTCGTGATTTATTTATTGTTTTATTTATTTCGGGAATGCTCATCACCATGGAAGGTTTCAGAAACCTCTGTGCCACCTTGGTGAAGTCCAATGGATGGAAGACCGCCTCCATGGTGTAGTGGTTAGAGCGTCCGCCCGGAGAGCGGAAGGTCGCAGGTTCGATCCCCGACGTCATACCAAAAGACGTTAAAATATGGTACTTGTTGGTCCCTGCCTGGCGCTCGGCATTAATGGGTACAACAAGGACTGGTCGGCTCGGAGTCAGTATAATGTGTCTGAGTGGGGTATCCATGCTTCACTGGGGCATGGTATCTCAGTGGGCTAGCACTATAACACCAGCTTAAGTCTGGGCTAGTACAAGCAGCCGCACATACACATACACACGCATGCACGTAGTCATATGAGCGAAATATTCTCAAGCACGACGTAAAACCCAATTTCACCTCACCTCACCTCCAATGGATGGATGCTTTAAATTGTTTTAATTGCCTTTTCTTTGTTTTGTTTATCATGGCACCATCATACTTAACATTAAGATGGGGATTTGAGTAAATTCAACATACTGTTTTCATGGATGTACACCAATGAAGAATCATATTTCAGCTTATTATAACAACTTTTCTTTGAGTAAAGATATTTCCCCATAGTGAGAATATTTTCATTAGCTCAAAACTCACTTTTTGGTGGTATTCCAATTACATACAAGCAAGTACCACGACATATTATACAACTTATTGTATTTATACAACTTATTGTATTTATACAACTTATTGTATTTATACAACTTATTGATTTAGCGGTTTACAGCCTTATTGAAAGATTCTGTCAAACAGGTTTCACCCACGTGCGAAAACAAAATGGGAGAAATATTTTCGTTTGTTCAAGATAAAGCTGATGATTCTCTATTTTGCAAATATATGCATGTACATCAACACATAGTTTAATTTGCTTTTATTTCGTTCAACTTCTTGATGATGTAAATGAGGGTAAAACATTTTGACCCTTGTGCGAACAAAATTGACCTTTCCTCCAATCTCTTGGTTATGCCAAAACACATCAAAAGGTGCAGCAGAAAGTCTACATTTCAATATTTTTGCGTTGTTAAAATTAATAGACATAATACACGTAATTTGCATGAAATGACCCTCATGGTGACTTCGCACAAAAACACATGCAAATTATGAATAAGTTAAGTTATGATGTGATTGTTTATCACATGATCATATACACTTGTATAACCCTGTGATTTCTATATCCCAATGACATGAAACGGAACACACAACTCATTTCGAAATCTTCTTACTATGTTTCCCTTTCCATTTACATATTGGTACTAGCACCATGCAGCAAACATATCTTATTCCACTTCGGATTCGGGTACGCTTGGATTATGCAGGATATTGGACATATTGATATTTTCATGTCTTGTATTCAAGTGTAGAGTGTCTGACAATAAATAACATTCAACGATGGCAGGCTTCAATATCAAATAACTTATTCAAAACAGTTCTGCATATAATATGCTGTGTCGTCTTAAAACTTAGTAATTGTTTAAAAAGAAGGGTAAACACTTCAGTTCAGAAAAATCCTAAAAGATAAGATCAGGTATTTGTACATGATATATTCTGGACTTATAATCGAAGGGGTTAGAATAACAACAGGGTTAACTACATTTTTAGCATTTCTTCATAAATGGAGGTTTTTTAAACATTTTTTTAATTATTATTGATGTGAAACGCACATAAAATACTTTTAATATTTTGCTTGTGTTTGATATTTCAAAGACTGTTTGGCAAACATTTACATACATTGTTTTGCCCTCATTTAAATACTAAAAAAATAAATAATAATAATAATTTGGATTTAACCTCCTATTTATTTTAGCCCCTTCATTATCTACATTACAGATACGTATGACGTTGTGACCATGGCGGCGTTTAGCACGGTGGTTTTGAAAAAGCTGCCTTTAAATTCAATTAAAGAACTCATTCGCATTGTCAAACCAGGCAAGTATACCATCCTTTTAAATAATGGATGTTCGTATCGTAATGAATAATATGGAAGTAAAAAAAGATATTCGCATTGAGCCTTAAGAAGAGACCTGTGTCATGGGCACAATAGCCGCTTCATATATTCAGTCAAAATACTTAAAAATAAATATCCACAATCTGCCTCTATTCAGACGCTTTATATCTGTTACTGTGTAAGTTGAGGAATTAGAACTTGCAGCAAGTTAACTCAAACTTACTGATCATCTCAGATATGTCAAAATGTACAGGACAGCGGCAATAACTGTAAAAACATGTCAATACACCAACGCTATCAGTTTTGGAGAAGGCTAATGAACAGGTTCAGCTTAGAAGTTCCTTTATTCCAATACAGTTGGATTTCAGCTATGTGACAGTTGTCTGAGAATAATCGAGTCGTTGACATAAGTCATTTAGTAACAGGCGATCAATACATATTCATGATCTCGGTTTTCGTTTTAGGTGGTTACATTATCAATGCTACTCTACACAGTCTCTTCCCAGCCGATGGGGATGCAACAGCAGCGCTTTTTCGAGAAAATATCAAGACACTGGAATCTGAAGGGAAATGGAACCAAGTGGAATTTAGACGTCTTTCTCAGGCCGTTCTTGGAGAGGATGGGGCACTCTCAGTTCACAAGGTCCTTTAATGAAATAATAACTGATTTGCTTCCTTAAATTCGTGAATACACTCTTATTATCACTTCAAATATGGTGCGCTGTCGTTGCTGAATTTCCCCAAATATGTAGACAATAAGTATAATCTAATAATGATTAATTTTATGTCCACCACAATCATGTAAACGTGCTATAATTTAGTTCGGAATGTTCGTGGAGATGAAGGGGCACTTTCAGTTCACAAAGTCTTTTAATGAAATCACGGGTAACTGATTTGCTCCCTTAAATTTGTGAATACATCCTTCAAATATGGTGCGTGATAGTGACAAGATCGTTGACAAGATCAAAACACAAAGGCATACCTGTGAAAATTTAAAACAAAACCCGACTATTTTATTACTGTAACACATGTTGCCGAGTTGGACCCCAGATATGTGGAAAATTAGTATAATCTTACAATGATTTGTAAGGCATGATCTTTACCAAGAAACACATATTTATAGCACTATTATTATAATAACCCTATATTTGACAAGTCTATTAATCTAATGTCCACCACAATCATGTAAGCATACCATAATTTAGCTGTCAAAATATCTATTGCATGCTGTGAGACATCGAGTGTCAATCTAAAAGGTTATGTTGTTTTCTATATTTTGATATTATTGTTTCTTCCTATATATTTGTAGCTGTATAATATATGTGAACTCTAATGCGATATTTTGTGGTGTGGGGCTTGTTGACATGAAACTCCGAATAAACTTCTACAAAGTCTGTTTGAGATTATATGGCGACTAACATGTCATGCAATGCGTTCATTTATATTTGTTTTCATTGTTAACTCTTGCAGGAGGCAATGGCGTTCATGTGAAGAAAAACGTTACAATGTAACAAAGAGAGATTACTTGCAATGTATGTGCCACATATCTCTGTACATGTATGTTCGGTTCGAGTGATCTGAAATGTCTCCCCGTCATCTAATTTAAACTAAACAATGCATATATTTAACATCAAAATTGTTTTGCAATTTGGACAAATACAAGACAATGGACTTTTACAACAGAAATCATTGTAAGTAATTGCGTTTAGTGCTAGATGGACGGTGCATTAAAGGACAGAGTGATGACGTGATCATACAAAGCTTTCCAACAATGCTGATATCTCTTGAACTACTACCTCATCGATATTATGCCCATTTTCCATAGTCCTTTGAGGTATTCTTCTATGTTGTATTGTACATGTATACTGATAATGTAGTTATGTTGGGTTTTTTATTTGTTTAAATCGATCAAATATGACGATGTCGAATGGGTAAGTGAGTTTACTTTTTTGCAATATTCCAGCAATATCACGGACACCATGGGGACCCCAGAAATGGGTTCCACACATTGTACCCATGTGGGCAATGGACCCCGGGCCTTCGGCGTGACGAGCGAACGCTTTAACCACTAGACTACCCCATCACCCTGATCATGTTGAGGAAGACCACGTCTTCTTGATATCAAATGGGTGTCAGCTTGCAATCTCAATGGGATTCGATGAAGCGAGCGATGCGACTCCTCTTGTCTTCAAGTTGAGAGAGTGGGATGTTTTATGCCGCTTTGGACACTATTTCAGTGTCACAGTCTGTCAGATGGAGGTGGAGGTGGAGCATGTGGTATACATAAATAGGTGATTATGAGGATGATGCGTTGTATACATAAATGGGGGATTATCGATGATGAGGATCTTTAATGAGCTGGTAGTACGCAGGAGGTATGCAGTAACCTTGGTCTCGGTTGATTGATGGCTGGAGTCTTTTGATGTAGATGGCATCTTGGAGTTTCCTGAGTTTATAGTCTTTGAGGTTGGTTGTTAGGGTTTGGGGTTTGTTCCACTGGATGTTGTGGTCGGATTGTCTTTGATGTGATCTGAAAGGGCTGATTTTGAGTCTAGTTTGGATACTGAGGTCTGATCTTCTTTGATTCGGATTTTGAGGGGTCTTGATGTTTCACCTACGTAGGTCTGTCCACAGTCGCAGGAGACGTGGTAAACTGTTCCCTGTGGGTGTCACGGCACCGAAACGTCGCTCTCACAGCAATAAAGAAGTTGTTCATCCATATATTGTTATCCTTCCTTACTGCTCCAACTTCTAAATGCCTCTCAAAGAAGTTAAGACTATTATTATTCCAAACGGTACATCCAATGATTATGATGGTATGAAATGATTGTATGGTATAAGTGTGGTCCACACTCGATTATTTACAGAGCGGCGTTAACAAACAAACAAACCGCCAAAACATATACTAAGCAGAAAAAGAAACGTCACTTTGGAATTTGCTTCTCAGAAACGGATAACTGTAAACTCATTTAATGTTTTGATTGTATATTTTTGACAACATCTCCAACTTTACTTGAGCCAAGACATTCCTTCCCAAACTCAGAACTGAACCCAGGAAATGGTCTCAAAAACACAACCTGATCTCGGAGATGGTACGGCGTTCTCCATGTTTTTCATGCAACTCATGATGCACGTGCTGTTCACAACGACCAGCCCTATAAAATGCACCCCCAAACCTGGTTGAAACATTCACATTACAACGTCAGCAGGATGCCGCGACTCACGGCAGCTCAGAGGAACCAGGCGCTAAGAAGACTTGAAGCTGGCCACACTGCACAAGCCGTTGCCAGTCACATCCAGGTCAACGTTCGGACCATGTACAGGCTGCAACAACGTTTCCGGGTCACCAGTACCACAAATGATCGCCCCCGTACTGGCAGACCAAGGGTGACCACAAGACGACAAGACCGCCATGTTGTGCGACAGCATGAACAGAATCACTTCATGCAGGCATCCGAAACAGCACGCCAGACAGTGGGAACACACGGAAGACCAATCAGTACTGATACAGTACGCCGACGTCTTAACAGCGGGAACCTCCATTGCCGTAGACCTTACCGTAGACCTATCGTCACCCTCGTCATCGGCGTGAACGTCTACAGTTTACCCTACAACACCAAAACTGGTGATACTATTCACAGATGAGAGTCGGTACTGCGTATCAACTGCAGATGGCAGAACAAGAATATGGCGACGACGTGGCCAGCGTTACTTAGACCAATGTGTTATGGAAAGAGATTCATGGGGAGGTGCAAGCATCATGGTATGGGTTGGAATAGGCCTGAACCAGAGAGTGGGTCCTGTGGGGTTCCAGAACCTTGGTCCAGTGAGAGGAGGCGGCATCACAGCGGTGTGCTACATCGACCAAGCTCTCACAACCCACGTCATACCACATTTCGCACGTCACCGAAACAACATTTTCCCGCATGATAACGCCCGGGGCCATACTGCCAGAGCTACACGGCACTTTCTACAGCAGAACGGTGTCAACATTATGCTATGGCCAGCCCTTATTCCTGATTTAAAACCAATTGAACATCTTTTGGATGAAATTCAGAGGAGACTAAATAATGTCATACAAGGCCGAACACAGCCGATTTTATTGCGCCAGTCCTTTCTCAGAGTGTGGTTCCAGGTGCCAATGGCCTTCATCAATCGATTGGTTCCCTCCATTCATAGACGCCGTGCTGCAGTTATTGCTGCTCGTGGTGGTCACACTAGATACTGAAGTCAAGGGTCTGAATGGACTGCAAACGTTCACGTAATGTCTTGAAATTGTGCTGAGTTATTCATTGATGTGTCAAGATATTGTACACAAAAAATGTTTTGATCCGCTTATTATGTCCATTTCCGTAATGATTTGATTACAGTGCATGAATTCGTACTGACGGGTTTTTGCTGCTGAGTATATTTAGTGTAGCTGGTTGAAAGTATCATCTTAATCTCTACGCTGCTGATGTGGCTAGGATGTGGGAAATGTGTTAGTTGTCTGGTTCCATTTCTTGTTTATGAAACATAAACCTGCCGTAATAAGACATCGCCTGAAAACCAGAGTGTTCCAAGTACACGTTTTGAAAAACAAATAGTTATCGCTATGATACTAATTCGGACGTGTTATTCTATCTTCTGGTAAAGTTTCAGATAAAAATATGCACTGGAAGTGTAATTTTCAGATATTTTAAAATTGTTTTATCTCCACAAAGATTTTCAATTCAGTGTTGTCCTTTTATTTGCTAGTTATTATCAAGATGTTAGTAGGAAAGGAGATTAATTCTCAATGATTGTTACTGCATTGAGAACATTGTTGTTATAACTGATTTCAGATGAATATGGTAAAAACACTACACCATAAAAGGATCCTCTATTCATCTCCATAAGCAGACAGGTGTATTAAGCATAGAGTCAATGCAGTTGATGTCTTTGTAATTTTTTGAAAAGTTACAAAATCCTTCAAATGACTTGTTTCACTTCAGTTCAGTTGATACTTTACATGTTTAGTTGTAATATTGCTTTCATTCTGCAAGGAGTTATGGCACAGTGTATATTAGCCATACGTCCTCCAGTAAATGCTGTTAAAAGACCCTTCTATTAAAATGTCATCCTTTGCCGCTAATCTTTGTTAAAAAAAACTCAGGGAAAGTCAAATAATCATTGCTCACTTTTATGACGTGTTCACGGAGAAACCTCTGCAGCTTCTGTTTACTTTCAGTTTGTTACTGTGACATTAACATTCAATCTAGTGTTATCTTTTTACTTGTTAGTTGTTTTCAAGATGTTAGTAGGAAAGGAGATAAATTCTCAATGATGTTACTGCATTGAGAACAGTGTTGTTATAACTGATTTCAGATATGGTAAAACACTATACCATAAAAGGATCCTCTATCTCCATAAGCGGGCAGAAGTATTAAGCATTGAGTCAATGCTGTGGATGTCTTGAAATGTGCTTTTCTTAAACTGTTGCAGATTTATTGTTCCTTGTTCCAGGCATTTTAAAAATATTTTAGGAATATCTATGTTAAAGACACATTCATAGACCTACCATGCACTCTTTGAAATGTTAAATCCTTGTAAAAGTTACAAATCCTGCAAATGACTTGTTTGTCTTCAGTTCAGTTTTAGTTGTTGTAATATTGCTTTCATTCTGCAAGGAGT